CAGCAGGAAAGAATGAGTGGGAAATTAAATTCTTCCCACTTGTGTCAGATCTGCCCTTACATAAACACATTAACAGTAATTTCATGAGGCGTCAAACATAGGAATAAATACTGAGGGATAAAATAATGAGGTGTTGCTATTGAGCTGAACTGTTGCAGCTAATATTACTGTGTATGAATTATGCAGCCTGAAAGAAGGCATATGTTACAGCACTCAAACAGTCGCTTCGCCAGCTTCTTCTGATCATTAAGTTTTGGGTCCCCTAGGTGAATCCGTCCTTCTGCCCGCTGCAAGGCCAGTGCAACATTTAAGTAAACACATAGAAACACATACACACACATACACGCATACATACATATGCACACTATCTAGAATTCCAGTTAACTCACTGAAGTTACACCCGAGATTAATTTTGTTGAATGTTGAATAGACATTCAATTCCATTTTTAGAATAATAGCACATTTATTAAGGTCTTTGGCTGAAGTTTTAAAGTTACACTAACATAAACAAGAACATTTTGTTTGTAATTTGCCACATCTATTACAGCTTTACTAGGACTCCAATTAGAAACTTAAGGTTCATTTAGTACACACACATCTGGTACTGATTTAAAATGACTTTCCTTTTTCATCTAAGGACAGAAAATGACCTAAGTAGCCTTTTTACCCAGTTTGAACCAGCGTTCTGTCTGAAAGCCAGAGACTTGACCATTTAGCATGCTGAACCCTCTTTCCTGGGGGCTGTTTTTCTCCCCTTTGCGGTAAAAATGTGTGCAAAGGGCAAAGATGTACATAAATAAGCTATAAAACCGGGATGCACAGAAGTATACTACTAACTAAGGAGAAAACAGTGTTTGTGATCGTAAGAGAGGAACTAGAAAAGCCACTGAAAATATCCCTGTGCTATGGCCACAACACTAAGGAGAATGTACCCCGACATACTACTGCTACAGCTGCTTTCCATTCACAGGTATACTAATCTGAACAGTTTTAGAAAACATTTACAGTGAAAAATGAAGGAAAATGCACAGTCCCTGCTTCTGATCATGTGTAATTATTGTACCCAATTCAGAATTTGAGAAGAAACCATGACAAAGTCCACCATGACCACTAAAGTCCCTTTAATTTCTAGACTCCTCTGTGTAGACAGGTTTGGCCAAACAAAATGCAGACACACATCAGTGTTGCTGGCAAATGGCCCTTGTACACTCAGAAATTAATGGGAACAGTTACAGCATATTACCCAAAAATGCAAGTGTCTTTATATGGTAAAATGAGAGTGGAAGTACACTGGTAACTGCTTTAATCTAATAAATTGCAATATTCTCATGCTAAGAGCATCAGAGTGTGATACATTTTAAGTATAACTCCCCCCTAACTTCAGTAAGGCATCCACCATCATCTAGTTCTTAATAACATTTCCTTTTTTGTCATTCAAATCCTATTTTCTCAAACAACATTTTCCTAGTGTCTTCACAGTTTGAAAAACATATATGGTTCTTGCACAAACCCTTTCAAGCTACAGTCTAATATGTCAGGTTATCAAAATTTTTTTGCAAAGGCTTGGACATACATATACTGCCCCTAGGTGATCACTGTATTGAGTTTCAATACCTTTATTTATTCTGTGGTCAATCTTCAGGAATAAACAAGAAGAATTCTATGCATTTCAGAAAAAGCTGGCTCAGGTCGTAGGAACAAAGAAGATTTCATTTTGGCATGAAAACATGAGGTTATTCTTCTTTCTCAATAGCTGCATTATGTTCTACTTTCTGATTCATTTATATTTACTATTTAAATAGTAAAAGGAGTTCCAATTCAGGAAACATAATTTGGAAACATAATTCTATTTAAATTCCAGAATAAGCATTAGCTTCCAAAACACAAAAGCCAGAAGCTTTATGATAATTGAATCCTTTTCAGCAAGCATAATTCATCAATAAAGTATTCCTCTAATGATGTTATTGTTTCTTTATTTAACTATTTTTGAATTTCTGAAGCTTCTTCAATGCCAAATTCCAAATGCCACATTAATCATTTGTATTTTTAGACTCCAATTTTCCTACTAGAGACATAGGTTTCATAACAGTTACTAATGCTCTGGATCTGAAAAATTAGGCCTTTAAAATACAGACTATCTAGTCAGTTAAGATGTCTTGTAATCATTATTTTGTACTATTAGATCCCTAATGGAATAAAGAATGAGTTTAAATTCATTCTAGAAAATAGGATTGCCAATTTTTTTAAATAGGGACTATCTTTTATTCTTTTTGTACAGTGCTAGATTAGAAAGGGCCTAGAGTTTTAACAATGTGCTTAATAGATGATAATGAATAGGCAAAATGAGTCAAAGAGCAACAAAGATATGTTAACCCAAACTCTTGGAATAATTGGCTTAAAAATCTAGTTGCAGCCATTTTTTTATGGATGTGTCATGTGGATTCCATAACACATCATTCTGCTGTGTTCCAACTTAAATTAAGGATAACAGAGATAAGGAAAATAAATTTTGTTCTGCTCTTCCAGTGTAGGACTTATTCAATTATTGCTTTCAACCATGAATAGGAAATACAAGTTAAAGTTGGAAATTTTAGGGGTTTATGCACTTTTCTTAAACAGAATTCTATGGAAAGACTTCAGTTTTCTTCTGGTACTACTAATATGACAAGTTCCAAGGAAATGTGCATTTATAGTCGTCCAGGTTTTTCTTCATTATATGGTCTTGGAGTATTATTCATGAAGTGAAGTTTTCTGCTTTGTAAGCGGAACAAATATGATGGAAGGAAAAACTGCACACTGCAACAGCCACAAATTAAGGGTCATTATGAAAAATGGTGGAGAAAACCAAGCACAAGATCTTGCTTGGTGTCATCACTAGAGAGATGTAAGATTAACTAGATTAACAAACTCTTGAGAAGTCCAGGTCTCTGCCTTTTACCATTTCAGGAGAATGTGAATTCCCACAGGCAAGCAAGATGGGTCCAAGATACAGATCTAACTACTTGGAGCACTCCTGAGGTATGTGTTTGGTTGTGCAGATTTCAACATGGGGAGTGATTCTGGGCAGGTATGCACGACAAGGAGAAATGGCATCCAAACCTCTTGCTTGTGAACTTAACTAAAAGCATAGTCAGTATTTTTTCTGAGTCAAAAGTGAACACTCATCATCATGGTCCCAAACAGCAATGTTCAACTATGAGAGAACCACTGTACTGGGAAGGCCTAAAAAACCTGTCAGATCAAGGATGTAACCTTGGCCTTTGCTGGACATATTAAAAAAGGCAGAAAGAAGAGACAACACAACAAAACAACCCTAATGTGCCAGGCCAAGTGAATTCTCTAACCCCTGTGTTCAGAAAGCTACCTTTCCTCCAGCTAAACCTTCCAAATGCTGGCCTTATTCAACAGTGGATACTAGACAGAATAAGCTTTTTTTTTTTAGTTAGGCAATGAGTGCCAAATCTTGATTCTTATTACACTGTTATCTTTAACAGGGATCTGGATGTACCTACACCATCCAGTTATTAGCAAAGAAAACCTTTTTTTTTTTCAAGTCCAAATGATTTTACCTACCAAAAAATCATAGCAATATCATCATTTTAATTCTTAGCCTTATTAACTATAATTGTGTAATAATAATATGTTCAGTGTGAATGAATGAGATGCAGTTTTGTCACAGTACTTTTCCTCTCTCTGTGCTGACATCAACCCCCACCCAGGCCTCCTGCAGCCAATATAACTCTCACTTAGCACATCCTTTCTTTCCATATCTGTTTCTTTCTTAAATTTCCCATTTCTTTATCTACCTAATCCATTCTGTTGACAGACAGTAAAAATGCAACCAATAACAAGAGAAAAGCAATGGTATGCTACAGCGAGGATGAATGGTATTTGCCAACCATCACCACCGTAAACTCATGAACGCAGTGAGCTTCACCAAGAGTTGCCTGCTTTTAGGATCTGATTGACTTGGAAGGATTTCTGCAAAGGTTCAGACCCAGCTCTGCCAACCTCGTTGCAGAACCAAGGCCTTTCCATGGAGGATGGAAGTAATTATGGGGTGTGATTTCCACAGCCTACATGTATGCTGTACAAGAGGATACCCCAGAACACTGTCGATTTGCCAGGGTCCACCATAGGTCTCTTTGGGTCAACACATCTGTAATTCCTTTCATAAAAGCCAGATGGGTTGGGAGAAGGTGTGAGCCCAGCTCCCCTTCTGGCATCGTGGAGCAGGGAAACGTCTGCAACTGGGAGCTCAGATATGTGTCAGGTCCTGCTGTACAGACATGATTTTTGGCGGCAAGGTTCTCTTACACCACACTGCCATAGACAGGGCAATGACATCATAAAATCTTAGGCCCACCAATTTCAGCATAAAACAACCCTAAATATAATACTAAAGCTTGTGTCACACCCCAAAACTAAAACACTCTTGTAGTGGTTTCATACAGAAGAAATGAAACAATATTTTCCTTATCTTAGTCTCTTTAAATCATATTCCCGAGATGGCACATATTCAAGTTTCATCCCAGCAAACAAAAGAAGCTGCCTACAGTGCATAGATGACCCCGATAACACTTTCCTGAAACAAAGTCTCTGAGCTACAGCACATTTTGTACCTGTTTTTGTTCTTCTCCTAAGCCGTCCCACATTGAAGCTACAATTTTAGAGACTTCACCAAAAGTAGCATTGGGGTTTTGGCCTTTGATGGCTGCTTGAGTGTCTCGAAAGAATAATGCATAGGCAGACACGGGCTTCTGTGGCTCATTTGGGTCCTTCTTCTTCTTCTTTTTGGGAGTTTTGGGTTTCTTTCCCATATCTGAAGCAGGTCTCTTCTCTCCACCATTGACCTGTAACACAAAATTGGAAAAGTACTATAAAAAAAGGCAATTTAATTCAGTCCATCCATCATTACAGCTTCTGTGATACAAAGAGATTTGGGATTTTGCATGCAAAAATTGAATTTTAGTTGCCATCTTTGATAATCCAAATGTTGACACCATGTCACATGTATAAAATTCATTATAAGTATTTCAGATTATGTAATTTTTTTCCTCAAATTGCTTTATATTTTGCTTTCATATAATTGTTATAATCTCATTTATAGTTCATCTAGTCATCTTTTCACCTTTTCTAAGTTTTATTGCTAATGGCTATAACATGCATATAATGAATAAATTCAAATCAAATTAGTTTCATTATATCCTGACCAGTAGTTCAACCACATGAATCACCTGCAGCCAGCAGGAACACTGTCATATCTACCTTTCCCTTATCCTCAC